AATCGCTGGTGTTTCTGACGTCACAAACTACCTTGTAACCAATCAGATCAACGTGTGATCGTCAACGAGTGGATCTCTGAGCTGAGTGAGTGAGTGGAGGCGGGGCTCATTTGCATATTCATAGAACCACGTATACTAAAAGAGGCAAGGGTGTCGAGTTACATTCAAGCTATTTTAAGCCATGAAGAATTTTTTTTCAAGGAAAAAAACTTTAAATATGTAATTTTGGTGAGTTTTTTTAAAGATATCATTTTAAATACTAATTATTCCTGTGGTAGAAAACGTTGTGGCACGAAGATCGGCTACTATGAAGGGGCCCTTGGGTTCGCTAATGGCCCCAGGGCCCTGTGTGTGCTTAATGCGGGCCTGGTCAGCACATGATCGTCACGTGGATCTGCAGAATCTGTATGTGTTTGAGTGAAGATGGGCAAAAAAGGCAAGAGAACACAGAAGAAGAAGAATGTTATATTGATCATTATCATGAATGATTGATTTGAGAAATAATTTTATTATGCGAGAAGAATGAGGGCACAAAGTGATATGAAACACATGAAACTAGCACAGTTAAAGAAAACCAGTTGCCTGAGACAATGGCCTATTATCTGTGTCGGTCATATTTTACATATTTAATATTTCAATATTTTACCACAGAATGCAGCAATAGACCAATCAACATCAAGCATACCAGAGAGTCCTGTAAAATTACTTACAGCAGCACAAAAACAAGCCCAAGAATATATCTCTGCACGCAACTATCAGGGTCCAAGCGGAAATCATTTAAAGATAAACTCACAAGCATTTTAACCAGTTAAACTGTTCATCGTTTCACCAGTATTCCTGGTACTTTTTCACGCACATGTACATCAATTTAGTGCAGTCGCACGAGCAGTACTGAAATACATAACATGCATACAATAATGTAGGGTAATGTTGGTAGGTTAAAATATCAGGCGGAAAAGTGTCTTAAAAAATAATAAATGATATGCTGGGAAAAACAACAACAACAACAACAACAAAAGCTTAGGCTTAAAACATGAGAGAATGAGCCAAGGAATCTGGGGACATAAAAATATGAAACATGACCAAATACCACCATTTTGTTCTTGGGCCACTAATAAAAGGGGCGAAAAAACTAACAAAAACAGCACTTTGTGCATGAACCCATTAATATATTCCTGACAAAAACAGAGTTCCCGGCGTTTTTAAAGCCTGCTTTCAGACACCACCACCAAGCCATTACTGAATTACTAACACAATGCATCTAGAACTTCACCTCAAGTGTTTCTGTTGTAAATGACTGTTATTTCACCATGTCAAGAGTAGGAAATCAAGCAGAATATCAGTTATGTGACACTTCCTCTATTTCAGACGCACTGTGACGCTAAGGCAATATAAACCCTCCCATGTTGTCATGTTGTGAAAATGAATTGCTTCTTTAAGAGAGAGAGAGAATAAACTTGCGTTAGTTTCTTTACCACAGAGGAACAAAAGACCTCTGTAATAAAAAAGCATGGTGGGTCGCACTCGGCCCCATACCCCCCTGCCCCCACACACCACACACACACACTCTGGTGGGTTCAAAAGAGGTCACAGAAAAACTTTTTTTCTTCTTCACACATTCACAAAAAAAATACATGAATTTCGCACTCTCATAGGCAAACAGGAAAACCACATGCAAATGTCCCTCTGATTCCACAAAGCAGGAACTATTATTAATAGCATTCAACCATTAAGAAAAAAAGACACATTACTCTAATTACATTAGAGTCCTGAAATCCACAGCCAAGTAGCACATGCTAAATTGAACTAATTTAGCATGTATATTAAATGACCAAGTAAGATATTACTTGTCACTGGCATTAGCAGTCATTGCTTTTATGTAGTGAATGTAGCGTTTACCTTTATGTCAACAACTCTTCAGCACAGTGGTAACCACAAAAACTTTTAACTGCATTAAGCACTAACTTTTGCTTCACTAAAAAAAATACATAAAATAACACTGAATATCAATATTTATTCACCTTATTCAGTCCTATCATGCAAAGGATGCTGGGAACTAGAAATCCACTTCCCAGTCTCCGAAGTTTTCATGACAATGTCATTCAAGTTACCACAGCTTAATTTTTTTTCAAGAAATCAATTAATGTACAAATTTGAGTTATATTATATACACAATATAAGGTTAACGTGATAATCAACAATGTGTCAACAGAACTCAAACCAATCTTTTGAAAGTTCTTAGAGTTCTTACAGTCAAAAAGTCAACTTACTAACTCACTTATAAATGTATTCGTACATAAAACTGTGATTGAAAAAAGTATTTCAACCAGTTTCCCCTTTTATTCCTCTTAATATTGTTGTGAATGTTCCTGCAATTACTGTGACCTTTATTTTGCTGTGCATACATGACCTTTTTCACAATGCAATAATATACAAAGTAATCGACAAGCACTGCTTCCCTTTTTAGTTCTACAGTCAAACGTCTGAAAAAAAGAGCACTTAAAGCTTAGTTTGTGCTGAGACACACCACTATCCCCACAGTAAACAGCTCTCAGCTGAGGGGTTCATCAGATATCTGTCTAACTACAATTAAACCCACATCCTACGTAAATGAAAGCATACACGTACCACTAACTATAGTGTTTAAAAGGGAACTAAAGCATACCCCATTTAAAACAGTCTGTAACTTTGAACTGCTGTAAATATTCTAATAATAATAATTTTAAGATTGTGCAAGATCAACGCCAGTCAAGCAGCATATACTGCAACATCCAATATGATTTAATAGGGTAAATCATATTATAATTTAAAGTAAATAGACAGATTTGGGTATTAACAGCAACACATACAAATACGGTCAAATAAATGTATAATAATATAAAATAATCTCCACCCACAAGCAAAAAGATCAAAACCCGGTCAGACAATAAATACATAATTAAAAAATTCAACAAAAGGCACATTCAGTTTGTTGCTGTTTGTCTTAGTTCTGAAAAGTTATATAAAAAAAAAAGGTTAAAAAAAAAGGTACTTTCCAAAAACAACAACTGAATAATACTACGACTTGATTTCCCTCAGTTTGCATATCTCTAGTCTGCGAGGAGGACACCTCACTTCTGTTATCAGACGCCCAGAGTTACGCAAGCAACCAAACATTCTCTTTCTAACATCTTTTCTGTATCTCGCCATGAGATATGAACAACTGCCATATAGCAGATATGCTGTCTGGGGCAGACATGCCAAGTAACAAGCTATGACTCCCCCGAGGGAATAGCTTCCGTGGAAATGTCGTGATAAAACCTTGCGTCTTTTTGTGTGTGTACTTGCAAATTTACTGTGCAAACGTGCACCTCATATCCTGTCTCTCCCCAAGGACCATAGGAGTTTCAGTACAGTTACTGCTGAAGAAACACTCTCCATTGACAACCAAAAATAATGCAAAGTAGACACTTGCACTCTACAGGACATTGGGTCCCCAGCAGCAAGATTGAAGACCTACGACTTAATATAAAAGCTTCAACTAAGCAATGAGACATGCTGGTTTTTATATTCTTGTGTGCTTTAGCGTTCGACCTAGTTGCACAAGTAGACAGTAGAGTAACAAATGTACTTGCGTAACTAGGTCGAGGGCTAAAGCACTTTTAGCTAGGTCGAGGGCTAAACTTTTTCCCTCTTCTTGAGCTGAACTCCTTGGGTGACATCGGAGGAACTTTACTCCACTGAAACTGTCTAGCATATAAACTGAACGGGCCTAGTTTAAACCACTGATCCTAGGACAGAGAAAGGGGTGCTTATCCCACAGGGTGGGGAATAGATAACCTGCAGTGCTGGCATTTTACACTTTTATTTCACCCGCCTCCTCTTTGCCCTTTAGGAGTTGGCAGGATGTTGTTTAGCCTTCCCCATTGACTCAGAGGTCTCAGGCAGTGAAGTCGCGCTCACAGTCTGCTGGGGTAAAGGAGGCGCTGGGCTCCGATACCCCGAACATCACCCTCCTGGGGTTTCTGCCAGTGCTTAATCTGTAAATCCTGAGGTCCTGATACAAGGGGAGTGGCGGATCCAGCAAGTTAGTGGGGGAAGGAAAGGTAACGGGACATACACTACCAGTCAAAAGTTTGGAAATATTTCAATTTTTTTATGTTTTTGAAAGTAGTCTCTTAAGGTACGTTTACACGACAACGATATGCTTAAAACTGAGAAGTTTTTCCTTTTATTTGAGTTTTTTTCGCGTACAGACAGTGACAATAAACAGACAATATTGGCATACATTGTCAAAACGATCCCCATTCACACGGATCCGCAAAAACGACTGAAATCTTTTTAGATGGCGATGAATCACTACAGACTGAACACGTAATACGCATGTGCATGACGTCATCGTCTTCAGAGATTCGCGTTTTTGTTGTTTATGCAGAGACCGTTTTCAAAAACTTGCACTTTGAAACCAGTTCACGCCGTTGTCGTGTAAATGAACGGCCAAAATGCATAAAAAGTTTTACGTTTTCAGTTGAAAATGGTGTCGAGTAAACAGCACCTTAAATCTCACCAAGCCTGCATTCATTTGATCAAAAACACAGTCAAAACAGTAATACAGTGAAATGTTTTCACAATTTAATTAAACTGGTTTCTGTTGTGATATATGTTAAAATGTAATTTATTCCTGTGATGGATAGCTGAATTTTCAGCAGTCTTCAGTGTCACATGATCCTTCTCAGTTTTGTCTCAGTCAGGTTTCCATCCAACTATTTTGATGTGCATTTTGAAAGGCATAATAAATCCTGAATGAAATGGATATATCCAAAAAAAGGCATGGAATGTGTGCATTTTTTAATTATTTAAAAAAAATCCCAATAGAACACCAATCACCCAATGCATGGAATTGTTGATACTTTCCACCAAGACATTTCGGGTTTTTTTACGTTTTTTTGACCTGAATAAGAATATTGTGATCGCCTTCTGCTTACAATGGAGACCTTGTGTTGTGGCCTGTCAGCACTCACCTGCTGTCTCCGCGGTCTCTTATTTCTCAGCCGGCTCCATGATGGGATGAAGAGGATGCTGCATCTGACAGAGACACAGAGAGGATTCAGATGAAAATGTGTGAGATGAACAGAGTCAGAGCTGAAGGACCTTGAGTGTCCCCATATCAGCTGAGACAGCGACTCGAGGAGCTGATATTACATATACAGCAGCAGCTCTGGTTTTTCTAGCTTACCTCACGCCATTAATGTTTGCCAACTATAGAGTGTAATGAGGCAAAGTTAATGCAGATTTCACATGAACATAACCTCTCCTTCACGAAAACACACAGTTTATGCCACAGCCTCTTGATATGAACAATCATTGAGGTTACTGGGTACCAGGAGAGGGTGATGTGATAAACCATTTAACTGGGTAACTGTAAAACTCACTTTCTACGTTTTACACATGCCTGAAAACATATGAACATTGTCTGATGAACTCAGTGTTGTCATCACACAAGAAAAGGTACTATATTACTATGATTTCTGGAAACGGTACCATGGTAATACCATTTTTTTGGTGCATGGACCACAGTAATACCTGTTTTTACTTGTAACATGGTAATACAATACGTTTTGGTTACACTTTATTTCGATAGTCACTTTAGACATTCTACTAACTATAAGTAACTTTTCAACAACATGTCAACTAACTGTCATTAGAGTATTAGTAGACTGTAGTAGACTGTCAGTAGACTGGTAGGTTATGGTTAGGTGTTATGGTTCGGGTTAGAAGAACCAGTTGACTTGTAGTTGCTAAGTTACTTATAGTTAGTAGAGTGTCTTTTGGGGGACCAACAAAATAAAGTGTTAGCAGATATTAAGCAGACAGTCTACTAATACTCTAATCACAGTTAGTTGACATGTAGCTGCTAAGTTACTTATAGTTAGTATAATGTCTAAAGTGGACTATCGAAATAAAGTGTTACCTAAGTTTTAGGCATGTGCCTTGCAATGCCACGTTTTTTTTCTCATGGTAAAACTATAGTATTCTACTGCTTCAAAGTACATAAATATACCATAGTGCCACCACCTGACCCCCGCTGCACCACAGTACCTGATGCACGTACACTTTGCAGCGAGGGACGTGGGTGTCAAAATAGAGGCCCAGAATTGCTTGGCCTGTTTTTATTGTGGGAAAAAGGTTACTCCCTCTTTCTCTCTCGCTGTGAAATACGCACACACACACTCGCTTACTATGTAAAACGGGGACATTCCACAGACTTTTATTGTTTTTTTTAAATATATATACATCTAGTTATAAATACCCTAACCCACACTCTTTCCCTAACAGAAAACTTAAAGGGGTCATATAATGGTACATGCACTTTTACAAGTTGATTGTACTGAAATGTGTGTTGGCAGTGCCTGTACACAACCATCATATAATGATAAAAATCCATCCAGTGTTTTTGTTTTAATCTCCTTATATGTTTTCCCCTGCCTCAAATCGAGCCGTTCGACCTTGTGACGTCACACGCTCGGAAGCCCCTCCCACGATTGTTGATTGACAGCATCGTTTCAACACAGACCCGCCCTCGCTCGTGAGCCAGCTGTCAATCATAGTCTGCGCGGACCGGCGCGGTCATTGTTGATATGCTGGAGCACTGTCTATGAGCAGAATGGCGTCTAAGCGATTGTGGTGTTCTGTTCTTGGGTGTAATAACGAACACAGCAGTCATTTTAATGTTCCTAAATCCGAACAACTGAAGACGCAGTGGCTGAGTTTGTTTTCAAAGGGAATATTCCCCACGAGCAACGTCAATGCTCTCATGTTTGCGCGAATCATTTCTCAGCAGACTGCTTTATAAACGAGGGTCAGTATAAAGCTGGTTTTGCTAAGAAGCTGCTCATGAAAAAAGGATCGGTACCAGATATTCGTGTTCCTGCTGAACCTCTAGAACAACTGAAGTGAGTGTAACGTTTTATTAAACTTTATATTAATATTTATATTAATCTTTGCAAATCGCTAGCTGCACGCTTCACAATGAATGCGTCTAAGGTTTACACTTAGGGTACATTACGGCATGTTTTCTATGTACGACGTTCTCAATATAATTCATAATCCCACGTCTATAATGAACAACGCGTTATGGTTATTGTGTTACAAACGGTGTACGCACAGAACAGAGAGGCGGGGTGAGCAAAGCTCATTATCATTTAAAGTCATATGCACTGAAACGGCGTGCTGAAAACAGAGCTGTTTTTGACCAGGTAAAATAACTGTTTTCTTACAATACTAATGAGAATTTGTAATTAAAGTGTATTACAAACTTTTAATTTAGACCCCAAAGAATCATACTAGCTTGTACAAAAATGGCATTATATGACCCCTTTAATGCATTTTACAATTTTAACAAAACTTTCCCCACTTTATTTTTATCTTGGATTTACAAATTAGGACATAGGCCTAACCATATCTGTCCCCAAAATGGTTAATGGTACACACACACACAATGCTAGCAGGAGGTACAAAGCCCCTGCAGTGACATTTAGACACACGCGTTGCAAGATGAGCACCACAAACTTACACAGGACAGCATTAATCATATTTTAATTGCTTTATTCAATTAATAAAAAATAATTGTTGCGACATTTGGTCCGCTGATTATTTGTCCTGAAATGTTTTTTTTTTTACATATCTGTAACAAGCACTTTCTTCCCTGCTTGCGGTCGCCAGATGTCAATGGAATAAATCCCCCAAAAAAGGATTTTCTCTTAAAAAAAAAAATACATTTTCTGATTCTGCCCAGTGTTTATCTTAATCCACCAGGTTGATTTGTCAACCATGAACACACTCTCTCTGTGATGCGGAAAAAGCACTGATGATCTGACAACACCGACAAACATGTATGCTGGAGGAGTTTAGCAATGTTCATTGTGAAATGTTGCTCGAATGAAAGAGTCACACAGCCGTCTGTACTCCTTCACGAGGCCGTCACCTGTGCGATATGCTGACACTAAAACTATGACGAACTGTAATAAATCCAAACATCCAAATCTTGACCATATTGTATAATAGTTGGTGAATAAATTCAGTTCGTGCAAACTCTGTGCTACAATACAAAGTAATTTTTTTTTTTACATAATTTGGAATTATGGGAATTAATATTAGGACCTTAAAGTCCCCCTGTGGTGAAAATCAAGCTTTTAATATTGTTTATACGTCTATGTGTTGTTTTTAATTTGCTTTAAGACAAACCATGTGTAAATTCATAAGTCGACAGCATTGCTGAGTATTTTCTCCTTAAAACTGCAGTGAACCAAAGACAGTCTCAAAAACACGGTTTGAAATCGCTGGTGTTTCTGACGTCACAAACTACCTTATAACCAATCAGATCAACGTGTGATCGTCAACCAGTGGATCTCTGAGCCGCTGTGAGTGAGTGGAGGCGGGGCTCATTTGCATATTCATAGAACCATGGATACCAAAATGATGCAAAGGTGTAGAGTTACATTCAAGATATTTTAAGGCATGAAGACACTTTTTCAAGGAAAAAAAAACCTTTAAATTGTCATTTTGGTGATCAAAGTTATACAATGATTGACTACAGGGGGATTTTGAGAAAAGCTTCTTTCAATTTGACCAGTTTTCATAATGTAAAGAAGTTGAAAAATACATAGCCACCGTCTCTTTGCAGTGTTTAGCCATTTCAAAGGTGAAAAAAAGACCAAGATTATCGCTCTTTGCGGGCTGTCTGTATGAATTTGCATTTGTGGAGCGATCTGAATCTGTGGTTTGTCTCATTTACAACTGAATTGCTTCTCATATCTAATGTGAAGACAAAATACAAAGCAATAGCCTATATATACAGTATATATTTTATTCTTTTCAAACGAGTATAACAGTGATTAATGATCACGATTATAATTTTTGATCACGAAATTAATTTCAAAATAATCAGGATTATCAGTTTAATCATTATCTTGCAGCCCTGGGAGAGCATAAACATTCTTCATACATGCATGAACACACACACCAGCGCATCCTTATCACAGAGCAAACAGAGAGAGGCGCAGTTAGAGGTACAAACCCACAGCCCTAACCCGGAGGTGTTCCTCTCTTCCTCATCTGTCCCGGTCTACCTCCCGCTCTCACACGGGAATGCTAGGAATCCACATTCCTCACTGACCCACATCCTCCTTCTCACACACACACACACACACACACACAAACAAACGCTTTTCTCACATTTTTTGCCAACCAGGAAACAAAATTATTCTAGTAAGAACAAGTAAAAATGAGACATTTCAGGAAACAATAATTACTAAAGCTGATCAGAACATGTTTGAAAAGGAAGTCATGGGTAAATATCAAGACACAACTAAAGATTTGAACCATTAATACTAACAGTGCTATTTTCTATCTATTCATTTTGTATTTAAAAAAAAAAAAATTATGTGTACTATGCTAGACTAACTAGGACAGTCACAACACTTACATATTGCTGCCCTATTGTTGGTTTGATTGCTTTTATTGTTCTCCTCATTTGTAAGTCATTTTGGACAAAAGCGTCTGCTAAATGATTAAATGTTAAATCAATGTAAATGTCAACACTGAACACCTAAATCTAAGGGCCACATATTTAATTGAATAAGGAAGGGACAATGTCTTAGGGTACGTTTACACGACAACGATATGCTTAAAACGGAGAAGTTGTTCCTTTGAGTTTTCCGCGTACACGACACTATTGTCTAAACGATCCCCATTCACACGGATCCGCGAAAACGACTGAAAACGCTGTATTCCTCTGCCAGGCCATTAGATGGCGATGAAACACTATAGACTGAACACGTATACGCATGTGCATGACGTCATCGTCTTCTTTTGTTGTTTACACGGAGACCGTTTTCAAAAACTTGCACTTTGAAACCCGTTTTCAAAAGTTAGCGTTTTCAGGCGCCCAAAACACCATTGTCGTGTAAACGAACGGACAAAACGCATAAAAAGTTTTACGTTTTTAGTTGAAAACAGTGTTGAGTAAACAGCCCCTAAGATGCTGATTAAGCTTTTAAAACTCATAGACTATGAAAGAAAACCTG